GCTCCCACGCGGGGTGTTGGTCTCCTAAGGGGGGGGGGCCTCTCCCCCCAAACAATAACCGCCTCCCCACCCGCCTTCCTGTCCTCCACGCCTCAAGCAAGGTTAGTGTTCTCTCTCTTCATACTGTACTGTACTGTACTTTGTGTCATATTTTTGTGGCTTAAAAAAAAAATACATATGGTTCAGAATGGATTAACCGTATTTACAGTACATTGAACCTTATGGGAAAATTTGATTCAGGTTGCGACCAAAATCGGTTGGCAACCAAATTCATAGGGGTCAGAATGGATTAACCGTATTTAGCCTAACCGTATTGAAAGCCTTCGACAATACATTAACAGTATTTACATTGAACCTTATGGGAAAATTTGATTCGGGTCGCGACCAATTCGGATCGCGACCAGAGTCGCGGAACGAATTAAGTTCATGACCCGAGGTACCACTGTACAACTGAAACCAGAACTTTTCCTCTTCGGACTGATGGATAAACAGTTGGAAAAAAGTCATGGAACTTTGCTTTTATAGATGATAACCCAGCAAGATTATTGTATGCACAAAGATGAAAAGATTTGGCAATACCTACAACAGAGGAATGGTAGGTGAAGAAGATAGAACTTGCTGAGATGGCCAAACCGACCTTTTTGATTAGAGAAAAGATAGCCTACTTAGGAACCGTAACCTACTAAGAAAATTGTATTTGAATTCACCAGATACAGGAAGTTTCAGGCTAAATAATAACCCTTTTGGAGCAGAATTACAAAGCAGCATTGGAAAGCCTACACTTGACTCAGAAAAGCATCCTGTTGAGTTCAATAGGTCTACTCTCAGCCAAGTATAGGATTGCTACAAAGGTAGGGATGTATCTTTAGGGGATGGCCATTGCACTCTTTATGCATTTCTCTTGTGGAAGGATAGAATGCTACAATTTGAAACTCTATAGGATACTTTTGTAGTATTGTTACCAAAAGGAGATTGGAAGCCAGTATAGGGTATGTAAATAGAGGTACAATGAAATTAGGAATAACAGAGTTGGTTGGTTTTGTCAGCAGAAAACTGGAGAAACATAAGGGGCCCAACCTGAAACACAACTCAGTGACAGAACCACCCAGAAACCAAATGTGACATTAGTGGTCAGGAGGACTTACTGAGATGGCCAAGCTGACCTTTTTGAAAAGACAATATCTACATTTATTGCTGACTGGAAATCCCTTATGGGCTTTTTTTTCTTTTTGCACTTTAGCTTTCTCTTGTATTTCTTCCTTTTTGTTTTTTCCTTCTTACTCTATTTTAGTTTATATTAATTTTTACTCTTGTTTTTAAAATTTTAAATAAAATTATATTAAAAAAGAGAAACAAAGAGCCAGAATTTTGGACACTTCCTGCCACATTTGAGAGGGAGAAAGATTTACAAGATGTAATATTCACACATACTCATGTGTTCACATACACACACACACAGAGACACACACATAGGAAAATCTACTCATAGAATTGGCCATTGCTTTCCTGGAACAGAAAGGTGGGAGGGCAGAGCAGCAGGGGGATTGTCCAATAAGAGGATGCGGTAGCCTGCAGTTCTGACTGAATACTTTGTAAGCTGTTGTCAGTCAGTCAGAACAGGATTTTCTTAAACTGGTTTAGAGTCAAGCCAGCCTGAGCACAGGCAGGGGCAGTTTAATTGATGTGCAGATATGCCCACAGAAAGTAGTTTATTTCTTTACTGTATTTACAGACTTCTGAATCCATTGCAGACTTCTAAATCCAACAGACTGATGGCTGGTTACCAATGAAATAAAATATATTAAAAAACAAACCCAACAACCCAATACCCATTCCCCTGGCACCAAAGTGCTAAAAACGATCTTCAACCATCAAAGGTCCAGCAAAATAAATAAATAAATAAAATCTGAAAGTACAAAAGCATTAAGTTTCTAAGTTGTTCCTTACAACATACTCAATTATTTTCCTAGTAAGAGTCAAGATGTGCCCTACTATCATTCACAGAGCAGTACCAGAGCTTGTCTAGATGCTGATTATTCCTGTGATTTTTTCCCATAATTGTAGAACTTGAATAGTAAGCTTAGCTTTCATTAATAATTAGCAACTTATGAATAGGTAGATCAGCAGAAATTAAATAGTTCAATGCCTGCTGTTTAATTGCTTTAATTAGGAGAGAACTAAAAACACAGAAGGGAGGCAAAAGTTCTACTCAAGCTGAAAATGCCATATGGAAAATTATGTGGCAACAGTTTGGAAAAAAAATCTCACAAATATTTGGCAAATCAGTGGAATATGCAATAGAATTCCTTGTCAGAACACATTTATAATATATTCCACCTTTAGAACTTTATCCTGAAATTGGATAATTATGTATAAAACCACTATGTCAGCTCTTGGAGGTATCAAGAAAAAGGAATAGCTGGTACAGTAATATCTCGGTTCACGAACGCTTCTGTTCATGAACAATTCGGTTCACAAACAGCAGCGTTCGCAAAATTTTGCTTCCGTTCACGAACTCCGCATCGGGTGACGAACATGACCCGCGGCATCTTCCCTGCTCTGATACGTGGTTGTGGCTTCCTGTAGGCGAGATCGCGGTCGCAGACAGACACTGGT